TATCCCAAACTGTAAACACAGCGGGAATCGCCAGTACAACCTCCTATCCGACATGTGCTGAATAGTTATGTGAAATTTTTCTCAAAGACAAGAAAAATTGGGCTTTATCACCAGCCAGTAATGGCCGTTGCGTGGTCCTGCCGAAATTTTTATTTGCCACCACTTCTTCCAGGATCTCGTCATCAAACTTGTGCAGTATAACCGAAAAGTCTATCATACCAACCAAGAACCGCATTCGTTATAAGACATTTGACAACTAAAACAGATTTCGCCCTTCCCTCAGGAAAATTCCGAAGCAGCCCCTCCACCCACCACACGCGAAATCATCATTTATCCTAGCGCCAGATCACCACTCTGTCTAGCGCCAAATCATCACTTGTCAAAACATCCACGTGGACGTGACCGTGGGGCGGTATGCAACTACGCGCCCCGCGGCGATAATTATAATTTCGTGCCAGATCAAATCTCCCTCTTCCCTCTGTAATTCACGATCGCATCCCGTATTTTCTCTTTCCCGTCGCCTGCCATGCTGGACGCTTTACACCCTTTGATACGCTGGTTCTGTGGCAAGCCGGTCAGGCCTCCCACCTGCAATGCGGCAAAATTCTTCCGCTACTCATTAGGCATATCGCAATATATCTTACTTCAAAAACCGAGACGTAGCGTAAGGTTGCATAAGCAAAAAAGTTAACCACTTCGCCTACAGTCAGTGGAGTGAAGTTGCAATATGCATTCAAACTTGCTTAACGTGTCTGCAAATGATGAGTACAAACCTTCGCGTATGTTTGAGCCTTGCGTGCGGGTGCTTGAAAGTTTTGGCGGGAAAATTGCTAACTCGGTAACCAGAAAAGCTGGATGACTGAAATTTTGGGAGAATGTTCCCTGTCCAAGTATAACTCAAATACTACAAATTCAGTCCCAAACTACGTGTCTTATTCATGTAAGAGCGTATGAAATTTTCTGCGGTAAAATTACTAACTCGGGAGCCAGAAAAGCTAGAAAGCTGAAATTTTAGGGTGATGTTCCCTGTCCAAGTACGACTTGAGTATTCAAATTCAGCCTTGAGGTATGCGTGGTTCTTACATATGGGCACTTAAAATTTTGGCAGAATTTCTGAGTGAACAACCAAGTTACTTTTAAAAAACGTTCG